TAATTCCAGCAACAGGCCTAGAGTTAACCCTAATTGGACCCTGGGTGACAAGCTGGTCCCTAAACTAATGGCTGTGGCAGGAGATTGGAATGTTCTAATTAGGATCTGGGATTAAGATAAACCCCACCTGAATGACCAGGACTGAGATTGGTGGTGAAACTCATTTTAGCTTCAAAGTGGAGTATGGCTGTGTTGAAAGGGGGGTGAGTAAAACCAACAGAGAGCCATTGTATGGATTTTCTGGTTCTGGTGAAGTGAATAAGAGGGAAGCCAATGAGCACTTCTAGTGGAAAAATGGCAAGCCCAGTCTGAGGACTGTGGCATACCAGCAAGGGCTGGGCATGAGGACAGTCACCATCGTGCCTTCACACACCCATCCTGGCTCTACACACAGGCCCCACTTTCTCCTGAGTCTGTCTCAAGAAGTGGAGACACTGGAGAGAGGGGGGTGGGAGAGAAAATGGCAGCCAGCTCTTCCAAACCAGGCCCATGTGTCAGAGTTGTGAGAGCCCCGGCACCCCGCCCTGCCTCCTAAGCAGTCGGATTGTGAGACATTTGCAAAGATGTTAACCCCACGTAAAAAGTGTGCCATTTGATAATTATGTAAATTAGCTGACAATTAGATAATGTCACTCACTTTCTCTCTCCTGCTAGATTCCCACATAACAGATAAGCGTTTGCGCTTCTACATGAGCCCAGACGCTCTGTGCAGCCTCCAGGGCAAACCATGTACCTACAGCTGCCTGGGCCACCCTGTGACTCAAGAGAGGGTGGAAGTAGGCTGACTGGGTGGAGAGGGCTCTCTGCTCCCATTTCCCATTTCTTGAGCCTTGTGTAGCCTTGCTAGAAAGCCAGAGAAGGCTGAAAAGTAAATGCCTGGCAATTGGCTTGAGGCCTGTGCTACTTCATGTAAGGTCATCTTTAGCTTTTAGCCATATTGACAATTTCCCAGAGGCCATGGGAATGTCCACAATCCAAGAAAAGAATGGAAGGGCTTTAGGAGAGAATGTGGGCCGATTATAGGGTGTCAAGTCTAGATGAACTCAATTCTGACGTTACCAGTCAGGAAATCAAATTCTTCCTGGCACCCGTGGGAAAGAAAACTTGTTTTTCCTCAGATAGCCCTTTTGATCCCCCTTGATGCAGGCAGGGGAACATTGGTTATCTCCTGTGCTGGTCTGGACTGGAGGGAAGGACTGTGAATCTGACATGAGAGACTCAGCCGGCAGGATGGAGCTGCTCCCCAGAACAGGCTGGGAAAATTCCCATGATCCTCCTTATAGAGGAGTGTTCCTGGAATGCTTAGTCCTTAATTCATGGGTTTCCTCAGATAACTAAGCATGTGCTGCTTTGCCCTTTGGGGACGTCTGAGGTTGGCATCCAGAGAAGTGTGGGAGGTCAGGGCTGTTGTCATTATGTAAAGTGGGGTAGTATGGAGGCCACTACATGGAATAGAAGTCAGATGATGCATGGCGATGCTCTTTAGCTTCTGTTTTCACTTTCCATTCTCTCTACATATGTTTCTTGAGCTCCTACTCCATGCCAAGGCCCTGTGGCAGGGACCATGGTGAAGCAGACCCTGAGTTCCCCATCAAGTTTCCAAAGCCTGGGCTCTTCTTTGCTGTTTTGTATCTTTGAGGCACACTTGACCCCTCTAGTTTTTGACGGCCTTAAAAATAAGAATTTTTAAAAAATTCTGCTTTGATAGAGCAGTGTTTGGAATGAATCAGAGCTCAATAAACAGATCGGATTGAGCAAGTCATTTAATTTATACAGACAAATACGTAACTTCCAGAGGCTTAGAGGTGACTTGGTGGATAGTATAGACCAGTCTGGAAGTTTCTGGGACTATTTTAAGGGTTTCCCATGTCCTTGCTCATCTATAATATTGGTCCTTCCATCTCCATGTCCGTTCCTCCCTCGGGTCCTGCATTGGCTAGGTTCCCATCTGAGCCTAGGCCTTGCCTGTCAGCCAGTGTACTCCTTGGTCTAAACTGGCAGGACAGAGAGAGGAGACAGAAGTCTCCCCTGCCTCCCACCCCATCCGCAAGAGGTGAAGCAACCAGCGTAGTGTCACTGAGAAAATTTTCCCAAGCCATTTGGGCTTACACACGCTAAGCTCCATTATGGCCATGTGATTTTTATATTCTTGGCTCATCAGTAATTCCAGGATTGGAATCCCCCCTGTAAGAGGCTTATTCTTTCTGCTCACACCTGCCTTGCTCCCCCTTTTCTTGCCCCTCCCACTTACCTAAATCAAAGGCATGCTGTGGGGAGGGGACAGAGGAGCAGCTGTCTTCTGAGCACATTTTCTGAAAGTGGCCCCTTTCAACAAGTTGATTTAAGGAAATATGTGAACGTGGCAGTTATTGAAACCAGAAGCAATCCTCTTTTCAGAACCAGGGTTTCCTCTTCCCCCGGGATGTTGCGTTTTGCCTTGGCTGGCATACCTCACCGCATACAATGGTCACATTCATAGAGACTGGGTCATGTCTCAGCACCTAGCCTCCTGATAATCTACCTTAGGCTTCATGTCTTCCAGTCGCTCCACCTAAAAGCATCAGCCTACTTGCTGTTCTTCACACATACCAGCCTGCTCTGGTCTCAAGGCCTTTGTTACTGTTACTCCTGGGACATTCGTCCCATGGGTAGTTCCCTCACTCTCTTTCAATGCATTCTTTAAATCTCACGTTCTCAAAGACTCAGATTTGTGGTCTTTGACTATTTCCATGGTGTAAATACTCCTAGCATAGTTGATTTCATGCTACTAAAGTGACCGTAACCAGCTCAAAAATTGCATAAGTTTTTATAGGTGGCTCTGACAAGCCCACACGATTTGGAAACTTCCACACTGCTGTGTCTATATTCTAGTTAAGCATCTTTTGTACTACTGGAGTACCCATGCCACACTTTTGGAAACACTGCTTGTACAAAATCTTGTATAGAAAAAAGGTTTTCCTTATGTTGGATTCAATCAACCCCTTGTTAGTTTGATCTGTTTGTTCAGTGGGCATAGATGTTTGTTCCTGGTTAAGGAACATTTTCCTCTTCAAAGCAGGGGTAATAACCAGCTTTGCTAATGCCATCATCATAAAAATCGTGGACGGTAATGGTCTGATAGAGACTGCGGTGAATTACCAAATGTGCCAGTTAATAAGCAGCAATTTGGACAGCTCTTGGAAATTATACTCTTTGCTCTTATGTGAACAAAGAAGCTCCACTTGCCTAGGTGGGCCAGAGTCTGCCTTCATCACCCACTTGACTGGGTTTTTGTGCACTTCCAATCAGTATAAAACAAAGGTAATGCACTCCAGGTCTGTGGTGTTCCTCATTTGTTGTTCATTCTGAAGTTTTTATAGTTTTTTTTTAAAAGTACTTGTGGTTTTATATACTGCCCCTATTCCGCAGATATACACACACTCACATCAACAACACTCCTTCTCATTCCTTTGTATCCAGAAATAAGAAAGTAAAGAACCTAGTGTTTATTGATCACCTACTATGTATGTAGCCTCATGCTAGGATCTTCCTTTCCATCATCTCCTTGTGTCCTCTCTCCAAACTTAGAAGTTGTTTTCCTCTGCTTTATCAATGAGGGAATAGAAGCTCAAATAGGTTAAGAAATTTTCTCAGAGCTCAACATAAAAGATCTAGGATTCAGACACAGCCTTTCTTTTTTAAGTCTCTTAAACACATTTTTTTTTCTATAAGGACTTTTCATCAACATTTATTAAGAGATGAGACTTGTTTTGTTCATTACTCACTTTCTAATTTAGTTTTGCTGATTTTTATAAATATTTCTTTCAAAAACTTAAAGGTGGGAATGTGTCTTAGGCCACCTACACCCAAGCATTGGATTGTCAAGTTGAAAAAGAAAAATCTAAAAAGAAATCAATGTCATTTCATGCCTTTTAATAGGTAAATAAGTTAAAATTATGTGTGTGTATTCAAGTGTATAAAATGTTAGTACTTAAAAATAAATTTTAGCTATGTGACCCTGTGATAGGAATATTGTAAAAATGTGCTGATGTGGCTTTGGGAGTTTTGTACTATTTTTGCATATGGAAAAACCGCGTGCATCATTAGGCATTGAGCTCAGGGTCCTGCAATGGCTCTGGTTAAGAACCGGGGCCCTCTCTTCTGTTTGAAGCGCCAGGCACTGTGAGAATCCTTAAAATAGCCAGACTCAGAGCGCTCCATCAGTATTTGTGAATATGAGATGCAGTATTTTCCTGACACCGCCCTAATCGTTCTTTCCTCTCTGCCCGCACCCCTTCTCCCTGCAGGTCTTTCTCTGGAGTCCTGAGACGCAGGTTATGGGCAGGACTGCCCGCGGTCGGCACCATGCAGTCTGAACCTGCTCCGGCTCTGCCCTGGGCCCTGCTTGGCCTGAACACTCCGCTTTGGGCTGCCCCGCTCCCGGCAGCCCCCCGCTGCTAGGAGGTAAAACTTCAGGACCCTGTCCTTGGCCTGTTTTTGCCTTTCACCTGGCTCACTTCACTGCGCACGCCTCCTCCATCACGGCACCCCCTGCCCAGCCCTCTCCCGGGCCTCCCCGGCTGGGGCGTTTGGGGGCCCTTTGGGAGGAGTGCAGTGCTGAAGGCTTCCTCTCGCCGTGGACCATCTTCTCCTTGAATCAAGGCCTCCAGATCCACATGGATAGCTGAGATCTTTTCTTGGAGAAAGATACTTTGCTCCTCACTCTAGTCCCACACTTTCCCACCTGACTTTCCTTCTCTTCTGCTGCCTGGTCTTTCCCCTCTGCTGCTTTATTGGATCCCTTGCTTGCGCGCCCATCTGGGGCCGACTCGTTCACTTTCCTTCTTCCTTACCCTCTGGATATCTGTGCGTGTGCCTCCTTCCTCTTGTGTGCTCTGTGCCCCCCCCTCCCCCCCCACCCATCTCCTCTTCCTCTCTCCCCTCCCGCTGCCGAGGGGGATCGTCCCCGGAGGGCTGTTCCCTGCCAGTCTCCTCCTCTGGCCTCAGTCCTGGCGGCCACGATGAGCTTCACCGCGCACTCGGTTTGCTTCACCCTGAAGGTGAGCGTCCTGCTGGGGTCGCTGGTGGGGCTCTGCCTGGGCCTCGAGTTCATGGGCCTCCCCAACCAGTGGGCGCGCTACCTCCGCTGGGATGCCAGCACGCGCAGCGACCTGAGCTTCCAGTTCAAGACCAACGTCTCCACGGGGCTGCTCCTTTACCTGGACGACGGCGGCGTCTGCGACTTCCTCTGCCTTTCGCTGGCGGACGGCCGCGTGCAGCTCCGCTTCAGCATGGACTGCGCGGAGACCGCTGTGCTGTCCGACAGGCAGGTGAACGACAGCAGCTGGCACTTCCTCATGGTGCGCCGGGACCGCCTGCGCACCGTGCTTGTGCTTGACGGCGAGGGCCAGACGGGCGAGCTGCAGCCCCAGCGGCCCTACATGGATGTGGTCAGTGACTTGTTCCTTGGCGGAGTCCCTGCGGACATACGGCCTTCCGCCCTGACCCTCGATGGAGTACAGGCCATGCCCGGCTTCAGAGGATTAATCCTGGATCTCAAGTATGGCAACTCAGAGCCTCGGCTTCTGGGGAGCCAGGGTGTCCAGTTGGATGCTGAGGGGCCCTGTGGCGAGCGTCCCTGTGAAAACGGAGGGATCTGCTTTCTCCTGGATGGCCACCCCACCTGTGACTGTTCCACCACTGGCTATGGTGGCAAGCTCTGCTCAGAAGGTAAGACCTTCTTCCTAAGTCCTCTCTTACTAGAGACCCACCCACTGTGTTGGGTGAGGGCCAAGACCCTGGAGAGAAACCACCCCTGTTGTTGAAGGGCATCTTTAGCTACATGTTAGATAATTGGGTCCCTTTCCCTGAGGAGGTGGTGGAAATCCTTGGATTGCTCTCAATGGAAAACCCCTCAGATCTGGGCAAGGAGAGAATCTTGGTTACTCAACCCTGGGCTCCTTACTCAGATGTTTGGCTGTACTCAAAGTGCTAGATGGAGTAGGTTGAAGGATGTGTGCCCCAGGTCAGCTTCTTCCATGGGAGATAGCTTAGCGGGGTCAGCACAGAGCAAGAAATTTGATAGAAATGGGCAAAATGGCTATCCCTTGAGAGTTGGGCCCTTGGGATGGATGGGAAACTCCTCATCACTTCCTCCTGAATCCCCAGGAAGAATGTCCATGGCAGACGGATGGCAGGTTCATGCTTGGCCCGCTGTCATCCCAGGCTTCCATTTGCTTCTCCTCCCACAGTCTTTGTGGAGGTGTCTGACGGGTGGATGAGGCAGCTGGGGACGGTCCTACTCACCTCCTCATTCTAGTAGCAGGATTTTTCATATGAGGTTCTTCTTTCTTGTCCTCCTCCTCCTCTGCATGTACCGAGGATGGGCAGGAAGGCACAGAGACTGACAGGAGCCTTGTCCAGCCACTCCCCTGAGGGAGCTGGCAATACCCAGCATAGCCTTGACGAGCCTCTCAAGTTCAACCATAGCTTCCCAGGGAGAGGGAAGGTGGGACTCATGCCTGAGGACTTAGATTGCCCTCAGGTTGTTCACCGAATTCTGACTGTTTGGGATTAGAGCTGAGAGAAGCGGCCCAGACTCTATTTTGACAAATACCTAAAATCCAGAGTCATGGACTCCAGGACTCACTGAAGGCCTGGCCTTGAACAGGAAGAAGTGTTGAAATGACAAAGAAGATGAGAACTGGCCACAGGGGTCTGCATGTTGGGAGGCTGGGATGAGGAAGAGGCAAAGAAGTTTGATTTTCTCCTATTCTTTTTGAATCAAACCCTGGATTCTTCTAGAAATATTTTGCCATCCCATGCTGGTCTCTCCATGGAGGGGGTGGGATGGTGTAGGGCAGAACAGTGGTTCTCAACCTTGGCTTCGCATTTTAGGATCACTTGCGGGGGCGGGGATTTAAAAACTCTCAGGCCACCCCGTGGGCTAACCTTGATCAGAATTTTGTAGGGAGTGGGATCCAATGTGTGTTTTTAAAGCTCCGCAGGCTATTGTGCAGCCAAGATTGAGAACCAACAGGTCAAGGGAGGTCAGATAGGTGGGGCTAGGTGAGTGTCCCAGCACAGACTCCTGGGATTTCTTCATTCCGGTGAAGCCCCTGCCTCGGGATTTGTAACTGAAAATAGTGTGTGTAGGTGTTCCTCAAGCCAACCCATAGTAGCCCATCCCCTAAAGCAGGTTGTAATTCATATGAACTTTAGCCACTCCCATTTAAATAAAAAAAAAATCAACAAAGTTTTTTTCACAGGTGGTAGATGCTGGAGACTGGGACACTTCGAGGGGCTTGTGGGAGGCCCCTTTGTAGGGGTTATTGTGGGGCCCCTCCCCCGGTCTCTGCTGCTTCTTTCCTCTGCTGGGCTGGGCATCACATCTCCCTTCCCGTAGCTGCGCTGCAGGAGAGGGAGATTCAAAACATGCATGCCACTTTCCATTGGCTTCTTTTTCTCCATGGAACCCACTGGAAAAGTGGATGGGGAAGAGGACCCGAGGCCACCCCAACCCACAAAGCCCCTTTGGGAATGTGGTTATTGAAGCACTTCTTATAAGCAGGTGCCTTCTGGAGCTGACTGCTGTTCCAAAGCTTCTTAGCTTTGGAGAAAGTTCTGCCTGAAGACGCTGACGTGATCACTTGTTTTCTCGTTCACCCAAAGGATCTGTTCTGTTCTCAGAACTTGCATTGAAAGCTGGCATTCTTCCTTTCTAGGGACTAGGGTGTTTGCAAGTGTGTTGTTAACTTGCTGATTATCCCTGATTGCATTTTTTGTGTTTAAAAAGAACTCATTTCCTCTGGGCAGGTCCGGATCAGCACTTTTCTGCAGGAAGAATCTCTATACTGTATATGTATACAGTTTGTCTTTTTCTCTCTTTTGGGGTGTGTGTGTGTGTGTGTGTGTGTGTGTGTGTGTGTGTGTGTGTGTGTGTTTCAGGTCTCCGGTGGCACTTCTTTAGAGCAGATTGTAGGTAGTCAATATTTTAATAGCTAAATACAACATGGATATTTTAGTAATAGTTCTTTTTGCAGGGTTCAGATCATCTAGTGGCTGTGGATTGATACCTCTATCTGAAGAAGGCAAACACAGAGCACAGCTCATTTATTCTCCTGATACATAAATAGAGTAAATGAACTCAGTTGTAACAGTAACAGTTGGTTGGCTTGGAACAGAGCAGTGCAAAGGTTGAGGTGAGGGTGGTTGTTGGAGGGTATCAGAATTTACTGTTGATAAATTGGAGTCTGTTGATCCTTGTAATTGTCATCATGCCTAATCAATCACAAAAATACATCACAGGCTTTTAGAAAATAATCCATCTTTGTACACATAGTTAATTAAAAACATTTTTTTGTTTATTCTTGAGGGAGAGAGAGGGAGAGAGAGAGATAGAGAGAGAGATGGAGTGCGAGTGGGGGAGAGAGAGAGATAGAGAGAGAGATGGAGTGCGAGTGGGGGAGGGAAAAAGAGAGAGGGAGACACAGAATCCAAAGCAGGCTCCAGGCTCTGAGCTGTCAGCACAGAGACTGATGCGGGGCTGGAACTCACAGGCTGCGAGATCATGACCTGAGGCAAAGTTGGGACGCTTAACCAACTGAGCCACCCAGGTGCCCCAGAGTTTTAGCTAGTAAGCAGGAAAACTCAACTGTAAAATATTAAGGGGATAAAATTTAAGCAGATCTGCCTAAAACAAGGTACATAGTCTAAAGAAATGCTTACCCATTTTCCTAAAGATAATGTGGTGAGGTGGGTGGTGAGGATGCATCCACTCCCTACCCCACCCCCTTTCAGTTGTACACATCATAGACCTGAAGCCAGCTTATTCCCAACCGTTGGTCCTGTGTACCAGGCCTCTGATTGTCCCAATTTCTAGGATAGGCCTTGACATTTGATTATGTGAGGGCTTGCACCCAGTATGGAAGATCCATTTTGTACTTCATGCTTTAGCAGTTCAAGAGCAGGAAGAGTGGGAGGTCTCCTGCAGCTTCAGATGGATGCGGTCGGGGCCTATTGAAGGCGCTGTCTGTGGTCCATTAGCTTCTAGCATGCTGACGGCATTGATGTTTGCTTGGCCTGTCTGGCTTTCCATGCCTTGATGGCTCCGAAATATCTCTGTGTTGCACCCTGGGAAGAATGCACAGATGGGCCCATCTCCTTTTTCTGCTTTGGGCTCTTTTGATCCCCCATAGGGTATCTTCCCTAGGAAAAACCTAGAAGACACCAGAGATAGTTGCTGTGGAACAGTTGGGCCTAGGGGTTGAAGGTCCTGGACTCACTATCTACTTTCATGTGGTGAAGAGTTATTTGGTCTGGTGTAGACTGAACTCCACACAGCCTCCTTAAGAAAACTTCACTCCTAGGCTCCCAACCTCATTAGTGGTCATTGAACATTCTGGCACATGGTGGAGATATGGTACCAGATCTTTACTTCCAGGTGTTATGTTTATAAATAAAATGTTCTGGTGCTCAACTTCAGACTTGCTTGTTGAAGCTTGCCTTTTTAGTAAGGGTCTTAGAGGACAGAAGAAGTGCAGGTAGTTCAAAATGATTTTAAACTTAAACATATCTATTTTGGAATATAGTCAAGGTATGACACAGTATATTCACTGGTTTCTGTCTAGCCCAGTCTATCCTGTTACCAGTATCCTGGGAGCTCACTGAGCAATGAAGAGCTATCCTGAGCTTCCCCCCAAAAGAGCTGTCCCCTCATGGGTCATTGAGAGTTTATTATTACCCTGAAATGAGTTGAGAATTGATACTTTATTTTTAAACCATTCTTAGTTTTGAAAATGTGTGTATTGAATTTCTTAACAACCTTATGGTCATGAAGAATTGATTTGCTCCCAAGGTGTGTATATTTCAGTACTAGTCTTACTGAAGAGCTTCTTTAGTGTGAAGTCAGCCTGTTGTAGGTGGGGTGGGGCCAGGGAAAGATGGAGAAGGCCTCACACGTTGATTTATCCTTTATCATTGCATGGGCCTACCTATGTCACATACCACTTGTGTGTCCATACTTTAAGGTTAATTCAGTGAAGAGTCATGAGGTCCTATTCATTTGGGGAAGAAAACTTTCATTGTCTACCTCTTCCTGCTGACTTGGGCAGGTGCCCAGACCAGAAGCTGCTGTCTTGAGTCTCCGCTCTTAACTTTCCAGATATTGTGATGCTACAGTGAGGTACAGTGGTGGGTGTTGGTGGAAGGAGCCAGGGCCTTATTACAAGCACACTGTTGAGTGGTATGCCTACTCGCCTCCCTTTTCCACCCTCCAGCTGTCTTAAGCTGCCAGGTTGGTTGGACTGATGGCTCAACACCACTGTGCGGCCTTGGTATGCCTTCCTGAAAGTGAATTTCAACTACTTTTCTTTTTATTGAGAATTTCGTGACTCTTCCCACATTTATGCAAGCCAGAACTGGAATGGAATGGTATACCAAGAGACTGTTTGCCCCTGAGCATTTACCAAGGGCCAAAGACATCCAATGCTGAAGTTAAGGTACCAGTGATTGCCCCAGCCGATCCTCCATTTCAGGGCATTTGTGTAAAAACACAAACGTCTCCCTCCCCGTCCCCAGTGCACATCCCCCTGGAATTGTAACATGGCAGTGTTGTTCCTAAACCCCGTCAACCCTGCATGGCCTGGGGGTGGAGGTGGGGGGAGCTGCAGGGGAGTGGTGAGCAATCAGAGAGTAAAGACCATCTCCTTTCAGAATCCTTCTCCCCAGGATGGAGACTGTACACCGAGGCAAGGCCTTACAACAAGCACAAAGGAGAACTGCGGCTTCTGAGACTTGATTCCCACCCAGCATTCAGGCGTTAGGTGGGACCAGCCCAGCCAGCCAGCAGGGGCTGTCGCTAAACGGAGCCTGAATAGGGGTCTGATTGCTCCTTTTTCCTCCTCTCCTCCTGATTACCAAGTGAGATTTCCTGGGTATGCTGTATGCTAAATGGCAGAGCAGCCGCCTGCCACTTGCACCAATTATCCCTCTTTTAACTGCCGAGGGAAGAGCAATTTTTTTATGTCCCCCCCCACCCCAGTAGCATCTCTGCCTCCTTTAAAGAAATAAGACCGTTTTTCCTTGTCCCCCCTTCAGAGGGGTGAGAACAGCCTTCTTTCTCCCTTCGCAAAATCCACACACCAGCTGCAGGCTACAAAAGGGGGTGGACACAGGGTAAATGCCTCCTCCGAATTCAGCGGGGTTGAGGGTCACACAGGCATTTTGCCAAGAGCCGTGGAGTGGCATGTGAGCTTGCATTTGCATTTGGTAATGAGACACCACGGGCCCAGCACCGGGGGCTAATTGTCTTTACGGCCCCTATCTCCCTTTGCAGGCTGTCGGGGAAAGATGGTTTCCAGTTCCTGGGGCAGCTGCCCATCAGCTGGGTCCTCTGCCCCCTTCACAGGACAGAAGAGACAGGGTATGGGCTGTGCTTGGGGGATGGGGCCAACATGCCCTCCCCTGCAGTGGGTGTCTTGTGTGACAAGGCCCAGAGGTGGAACTGGAGTGAGACGCTTTGGGGCAGGGCTGTGATGGGCAGGTACCCTTCCTAGGATAAACATAACGATGCCAGTATTACTATTATTGAATGCCATCCTGGGCCTGACAGCCTAGGTGCTTTAGGTGCATATGTCTCATTTAATCGTCACGGCACTCCTATGCAGTTGATACCATTAACTAGCCCCACTTTACAGATGAGGAAAGTGAGGAGCAGAGAAATTTGGAATTTGACCAAGGTTTAGTGTAGTATTAAGATCATGGCTTCCAGAGTGAAAAAGATTGGACCTTAATCTGGGCTTGCCCACTTCTAAGTTGTGTGTCTTTGGGGAAAGTTTTAGAAGATTCAGTATTGTCATCAATAATAGTAATAATTAATATCAGTTAACATTCAAGGAGTGCTTGGCCACACGTCTGCACCGTATTGACTGCGGTGTATGAAATGACTCTTATAACCCTCACAACCACTCAACACACTATTATCCTCATTTTGTAGACAAGGAAGCTAAGGGACAAGAGATTCAATAATCCGTCCAAGGTCACACAGCTAATAAGAGGCACAGCTGGGGTTCGCATCTAGGCACTCTGGCCTCAGAGACCACACTTAACCACTGTACCGCCCTGCCTTGCAGCAAATCAAGATAAGAAATTGTACATCATGGAGTTGTTGAGAGCGTGAAAGGAGATGAGACGTATGGAGTTAGCTACATAGTCTCTGGGCAAGAACAAGTCCTGACTCTGGCTGTTGGTCTCCTGGTGCTTGTAAGAATGAACCGTGTGTCAGTTTGGTTTCTCAGAAGGTTGGAAGCTCCCCTCCGAGTACCCCCACCTCTGCCATTTTCCTTCATCCCAGTTTGAGAAATGACAGAAACAAAAGGAGGGAAATCCAGTTTCATTGCCGTTTTGGCCCTGCCTGAGAATCGCCATGTCAATGATGAAGGTTGTGCCTGTTGGACCATATTTGGAGCTCTTTGCAAACCTGTGGTTCTGGCCCCCGTAGCAACCCAATGAGGCAGGGAGGACAGGCTTTCCCATCCCACTGAATAGGTGAGGAGGCCCAGAGCTGAGGTTCCAGTGAGCGTGTGGGTATGTGGGCAAGCTTGGATGCTGCCTGCTTGGCAGGTGTCTCTGGGACCTGAAAACCCAGATCCCCAGTGTGGCATTTTATTTCTGCTCCTAGGCTCCCTTCATTAACACAAATGGCCTGTGTCTCCATTGTGAAATGGAGCGTCGCCTCCCTGGATGCTGGTGATAAGCAAAATGTCAAAGTCCTGGTGTAGGAGGTTATCAGCTTGGCCAGTCCCAGGAGCCTAACTCCTCCCAGACAGACAGAAAGCGAGAATATGAGAGAATGAGAGAGGATGAAATGAATGTGTCTGAGTATTCAATTCCCACCCTCAAGATCCCGGTTTGAAGTGAAGTGACTGGGGATTGGACCCATGGGTCCTGAGGCATTTGGAGCACAGCTACACCCCACCTGAGTGTTGGCATCGCTGGACAGCACGCACGACCTCTTCAGACTTACCTTTGGTTTTCCAAGTACCAGGAATTGCCCAGCACCCCACCCAGGGTTGGCGGTAAAAGATGGAGCTCCTGGACTACTCTCTCAGACTCCTTCTTGCTTTCCTGCTGCCTTGGGACTGTCTTCACAGCTAACAGAACCAAACTCTCTTTCTCTGTGTTTATTCTTCTTTTTCCCTTTGTGTGGGGGGGAGGGGAGATCAATACAGAGGCGGATTTAACCAGGAAACAAAACCTTCCATATACCCTCACTTGCATGGTCCCTTTCAAGGTGCCATACCTAATTCTGTATTTGTGAGTTTTTTTTTCTTAAGGAAACCCCAGTATCATCAACTTCCAGCTCCGCCTCTGTGGATCCGCCTCTGTGAAGACTTGTTGCTGCCCAGTGACAGCAATGTGGCGCTGGGTGTACATGTGATTCCCCAGTGACCTACGACCCTTCATCACAGACGCATTTTCCTTCCTCTCATAACCAATAGGGCAGGAAGAGCCATGGAGGGGGTGCGCGGATGATGAAGGGCATCTAGGAGTATCATATGGGGAAGCATCTAGAATATCCAGTGGGTAGACAGAGGCTGTGTTTAGAAATGTTTGCTCTTGGTGCAGAGGAAAGTGCTGGTCCTTAAAAAAGAGGGGGCGTCCCTATCCCCCTCCTGAGGTTTTCTCAGCTGAAGTGGGGATGTTTGGTTCACTGCGGCTCGCTGGGGGGCTGTGTTACAGGTGACAGGCTGCAGCTGACAGAGGAGAGGGACAAAGCGTGGCTCGGCAGGCCTGTCTCCGTGATCTATTTGGGAACTGACAGTGCCAGTGGGTTGTCATTACTGTTGTTGTTCTCTAGAAATTGATGTCTTTGGGTGACCTATTTAAAAGCAATACGGGGCCCCCTTTAAATGTGCCATCATCCATATCTGCTCTCAGATCTCCACTGCTGACCACAATGTTCCTAAATAATGCACTTTCCAATTAAAAAAAATTTTTTTTTAATTCAGCAACCAATAGTAGCAAGCTTTTAAAAACAAATTGATCTCACAGTCATCCAGCCCAACTGCCCAGCTCTGCTCTGTGTTAAAACTTACTTCACACGTGGTCCTAGAAACTGTGATCTTTTCAGCTCTTTTGGGGAAAAAATGCTTTACTCCGTGAGGGTTTGCAAGGGCCTGAAGAGGGTGGAGACAAAAGAAAGGCGGGGACATGAGCTGTAGGCAACACGAAGCTCTTGGTTTAAGCTGGGAAATGCATTCAGGATCCTTTGGGTTTTTCTGAGGCTCTTATTTAAGTATCTTTGTACCTAAGATGACTCTGAGGAGCTTTTCCCTCAAGTTTCTCCATGAGACTCTCTGCGTCTTATCTTCTCCTGACATTTTTGCCTCTTGAGTGCAGGTTTAGTTCTCCTAAAGCAGTTGTGTTTGCAGGTGCAAAGTTCTTAGAAGACAGTCTCAATAGTCTCGTGGTTGTCGGCAACACAAGGGCCAGTGTCTTTGCTCTCTCAGGCAGAGTGTTCCAGGCAATCCCATACCCTCTCCTCCAGGAATTATTGGGAATGTGTTACCTGCAGCCTCTGGAGAATAGACACAGTGCAGCGAGAGAGTGTTGCGCTTCTTTAGTTAATAAGTTGTATTAAAATAAAAACAATACCCCTCTTGGGAGGAGGGACCAGCCAGGCTGAAATCACGCATCTGCGATCCAAACATTGGGAACAGGGCTGGCAAGGCTGGGAGGTTGCCATGTTCTAAATTTTTTTCCTTCCTCCTCGGTCCCTCAGGCTTCTTTCCTTTCCAGAAGGGGTCCTGTGTCTTGCCTGGCTAGCTTGGACTGCTAAAGGAAGAGGGAAGGGGGAGCTTAAAGGATGGTAAGCCTCTCACCCATGGGATTCCTAAAAGACTAATTTTCCCCTAGGACACTTGCTCCACCTGGTTCAGGAAAGGCAAGGCTGGAGTTAGGCTGAGGCGGTGTGCTGTGAGCCCCTTCTCAGGTTTAAGGAGACACACTGAAATTTGGGGGGACTCTGGTGCTGGGGAAGAAATATTCTGTGAGGGATGAAGCACACATCTCATGACCCATGTAGAGGAAAGTGAGACATTTACATTGCCTTCTGGTCCTGCCTTTGCCTGTGTAGTGCACTGGAAACCAAGTTTCATTGTGAAGAATCATGGGATAGTAACTTTGGAGGGGACTTTAAGGGTCATTGGGTCAAACTACCCATTTCCCGTCCTCTTCTCCACTGCGTAACACATTTTCCCTCCTCTCCAAAATCCCCCTAGTCAGCTACAGTGACAGATCGGGACTCAGTTCTTTTTAGGACAGCTTCATGTGTCTCTGGTCACTGCTGAGGATCAGAGAGCTAGCTCTTCCCACATCAGGCCGTGGTCGGCCTCCAGTCACTTCCTCACTGGTCCCGATTCTAATTAAAGCAGTCTGACCTTTGCAGTGGGTTGTGTGGATGAGGGGATGGGTGGGTCATACGAGTTCTGGATGATGCTCTGCAAGAATCAACCCTTGTGTCAAGTAAAATTCATAAGGGGTTCTCTAATATGGCACTGGCAATACACACATCACAGAGTTATTTAGAATTAACTGCTTGTGATTAATCTTAAACAACGTGGGAGGGACTGATGTGGGAAGAGACTCTGAGGTAAGCAGGTGATTCATGCTCTAGTCATTTCGTTCCTAGGGAGCTTGCACTCTGGAAAATTCATGGTTGGCTCCATCTCTGCCTCTATTGTCTGTGCCTCATCTCACCCCCCTAAGATGTCCCATCTTCCTCCACACCCTGCTAGCTTTGCAGCATCTCTGCTTTTCCAGGAAGCCCCCTGGAAATTTCTGATAGCTTGGCAATAAGATAGAAGTTGTAGAATGCTAGGGGCACCTGGGTGGCTCAGTCGGTTAAGTGTCCGACTTTGGCTCAGGTCATGATCTCGTGGTTCGTGGGTTTGAGCCCCGGTGTTGGGCTCTGTGCTGACTGCCAGCTCAGAGCCCGGAGATGTTTCAGATTCTGTGTCTCCCTCTCTCTCTGACCCTCCCCTGCTCACGCTGTCTCTCTCTCTCTCTCTCAGAAGTAAATAAAAACATTAAAAAAAAAAGAGAAGTTGTTGCAGAATGCTAGAATGCAGTAGCATAAAGTAGAATTGGATTGGACTAGTTTAACAAGCCCATCCTGGCCTCCAGGGTCAGACACCCCAATAGACATCAAGGTTTTGCTAAAAAGGCTAACAGAGTGGTTTTTTAGAAAAGAGAAGGTCATGGAATGAAGCAGTATCGAGAAGCTGCTCCTGGAAACTGGCCTTGGAAACAAATGCCCTGTCCAAAAATGCTTCCATTCTGCCAGGTTGCCCTGGGTATCCCATGTTTTTGGCCCTGTTGGGCAGAAGTCTCCTAGGAAGAGGGATTAGGCAGGGCTAGAAC